TGTGTGTGGGTGTGTGTGTGTGTGTGTGTGTATGGGGTGGGGGGGGGATGTGTGCATTTCCTGGGAGTCAAGACCGCGACACCACAGGTCTTTGCAGGCTGAATCCCCTCCACGTGTCCTGTGCCCACTGTGCCTCCATCCCTGCTTCCCCTCACGGCCATTCTGAGGGGCCTCGGGTACAGACAGGGACACCGAGGCCGGCCAGGTGCAGCCACTCGCCCACACGCGGCAGGGCCCCCTCGCACCAAAGCCCCGCTCCTTCCCATGCACGGCCTGCCTTCAGCTTCCTGCAGTGGTTCTCCCATTACCCACACAGGTCAGGGTTCCTCTCCTCTTTCAGGCTTCACTATTAACAAACAAACAAAAACACAAGACACCCTGCTGGTTCTAAGATGTGTGCTTTTTTTAAATGTGTATTTTTAAAAGGCAGCAGCGGATTCTTCGGGGAGTCAGGCCGCCCCGTCCATTGCCTCCCACTGACCTGTTTCCTCAGAACCATAAATTACTTTCTCTTTTCCCTTTTTCTTTTTATTGATTTCAGAGGAAGGGAAAGGGAGAGAGAGATAGAAACATCAATAATGAGAGAGTCACTGATCAGCTGCCTCCTGCACGCCCCACCCTGGGGATGGAGCCCGCAACCCGGGCAGGAATGTGCCCTGGCCAGAAATCGAACCCTGACCTCCTGGTTCACAGGTCGACGCACAACCACTGAGCCACACTGGCCGGGCCATAAATTACTTTCTTAAGGGTCCAGGAAAACCAAGGGGAGAACATGCACCTTTGCAGTTGGCCAACCTGTCATTCACCAGCCAAAGAGGGTTTGGGTCTGGGCTCTGGAGGCCCAGAGAGGGCAGCCCAGAGTGTCCCTGCCCTGACGCAGGCACCCCTTCCCTGAGAAGTGAGCCTCCCCTTGGGCCTGCGCGCCCCCCGCCCCGCCCAGGGCAGCCTCCGCACCAGCAGCACCAGACCCTTTCTGTGGCCCTGAGCCTCGGGCACCTGACCCACCCTCTCCGGCTCCAACCAGCTCAGGGAGGTGCTGGGGCGGGCGGCATTCTCAGAGGCGCTCCTGGGGTGGGGGTGGGGGGGTATCTGAGTTACACGTACACTTACACTAAAAATGTACCTGCTGTTGCTCTGAAACTCAGATGCTCTGTGCTGACCACACGAGTTATGAGTGAGGGACTGTGCGTGCGTCCTTGGCCCAAGACCTTGCAGCGGGAGCATCAGGAACAAAAGCCTTGAAGCCGGGAGGGTCTTTCCAGGTACATAGGAGACGCGCCTCTCCTGAGGGCTGTGCTGTCTGCACTGTCTCCAGGCAAAGAGCCGGAGCTGCCGGCACATCTGAACCAACAGGGCTGGCTGGATGGCATCTTAAACCTCGCTGGGTCCGTTCACGGGGCCTCGGGGCAGCTCCGTCGGGGACGCTGCGATTAACGACTCCAGCATGTGGGCAAGGAGGCCTTGGGTGTGGCGTCTCTTATCTTCTGACGCTGGGAATCACTGGAAATTAACATCCCCACTTGCTACCTTGCTGGTAAAACCCAAGTGAGATCTCAGTCCTCCGCTGCTCAAGACCCTCCCCGGGCCCATCTCACTCAGGGTCAAAGCCAATGTCCCCACCGGGAATGCCACAAGGCCCTTCACAACCTTCTCTGAGCGCCTGTCCTGCTCTCCCCTTCGCTCTGCCCAACTTGACCTGCTGGTGTTCTCTGAAAAGACTTGGCACGCCCACCCCAGGGCCTTTGCACCTGCTGTTTCTTCTGCCAGGAACACCTTTCCTCAGCTGTTCCCAG